CGGCTCCGTCGGCTGGCTGCAACCGCCGTTACCAAAGCGGAGAACAAGGAAGAACCGCCGCCGTTCGAGGGCATCCAAAGCCCTCGCGCGCGCGGCGAAGACAAAGAAGGCCAGCGCGTCTTTTTAAAAGCTTAGTGTAGCTACTAGTGTAGCAAGTGCAATATTTCAGGGAAAAAGCAAATATTTTGTTAAACTTTCGATATTCCAGGTAAGAAGGTGAATTAAACCTGCAGATTATTTTACTCACTGTAAGTAAATCAAAAATCAACCAGCTAGAAGTAGTGCACTAGACTTACCATACTGATCACAAACGTAAAACGATACCGTGAGATCAAACGCGTTGGCATGCTTTGTGGGGCGCACCGGGGGGCAGAGACTGCCCCGGTCTCCGTTTCTGCTATTCCTCTTTAATATCGTTCAGATTAAAAGGCCGTTTCTGCATCGCGCTCGCCTCCAGCGCTCGTGTGCGTCCCCCCGAACAAGGTGTCCTCGCGTCTGCGGGGACAGTGTGCGTTTGAAAGGCAGAGTCCGCTCGCAGCACCGAGCTCGGGCACGGCGGACGGATGGATGGACGGATGGACAGGGAGGTCCCTTTCCTGCGCTAAGGCAGCCACAAGGCAAGAGCAGCAAAGCCCTGCTGCTCCTCCTGCCCCGGCTCCCGGCCAGCTACGTCCATCCCGCCTGCCAACGTAGAGCGAGATCAAAATTTACATTAAAGTCTGCTTTCAGTAGCCCGACATGGAAGCGAGCCGCGTTTCCTCCTCCCAAAATAATTTCATGGCAGCCAAAAAATTCTCCAACAAACTAGACTTTAATAATGTAAGAGGTTATTTAACCTGATGCTCCAGTGATCTGTTTCTCAGATCAGCCTACACACTTTATTTACTGCAAATCCTGCCAGATAAAAAAAACATCTGAAAACTGTCAATAATCTAACAGTTAATCAAGGCAAATACCCAGCTTCCTTTGTCAACACCCCACACTTTGCCTGCGGACGGAGAAGGCAAGGCTAGCAACAAAATACTCTCTTAGGGGCAGAAAACACTTTGGCTTTTGTGCAAACTCCCTCCCTGGGGAGAAAGGATTCGAAGAAAAAAATAAAGCCTGCAGTAGATTATGCCAACGGGAGGGAGGAGGTGCCAGGAAACAACAAAACCCCCAACGTTTGGCAGAAATTAATCTAAAAATGATATAACATTTCATAGCTCCCTTGATTATACTTCAGCCGAAGCAAAAGGAAAACCTGATTTAGAACAAACATTTACATTGGGATTTTTATAGAAATGCCACTGCCTGGCCGACAGCAGCAATATTTCACGTAAAGGTTGAAATCAATCAAAGTCTCAGGCCGCACCTCTTAGTGCACGTAGACCTGCTCTTTCTAGCTTTCAGAAAGAAATACCACACAAAAGATTAAATCTCACTCCAGGAAAGAATAATGGATATATTCGATCATGAAAAATATGTAAATATCACCAAGTTTTACTGAAAAAGTTACACCCTTATTTGCACCATAGAATATAATCCTCTACCTAGCATTTGAAACCGAGAGACAGCCAGCTGCTCCTTAGCGTAGCGCCCCCAGCCGCAGGCACGGTGTTAGCAGGTGTCCGGCTGTAGATGTCGTTACACAGAGGCTGAGCCTGAAACTGCAGAGCAACATCTTAATTCAAAATGATGCTCCGACATCGAGAGCTGGGATGCCCTTTTGGGGGACCCCAAACGGACGGATGGCATCCGGCGTCGATTCACGGCGGTTGTAGGGGCTGGGAGGTTTCCAACGCTTGTAGGTTTTCCTGAATTTGTTCTATAAATCCATTAGACCATACAGTAAATATATCCTAAAATGTTTAACAGTCTATGTTTTCTATAGATTTTCCCCACCAGGGGATCATTACCTAGTTCTTCCAATTGCAAAGTGGCTGTTAAATTGTCCAAGAGGCTGCATCCTCCAGGCACCCTGCCGCCAGACCAAAGGGACTCTTCAGATGAAGGAGGCTTCTTGAGCTTCATTTGTGATCAAACCAGAGTTCGACATTAGACACCAGAAACGGCCCCAAGGGCCTAAGATCTCGGCTGGGAGAGAAACGGCGAGGCGCTTCCGAGGCTGGAAACGCTTCGTTTCCTCCACAGCATTCCTAGCTGGGAGGGAACAAACTGCAAACGGGGTTCTGCTAGGAAAAAATGTAGAGAGAGGCCCAGCCGCGTCCCCCTCGCGGCCGTGGCTTTCCCTGGGCCCGGCCAGGCGGGACGTCCCAGGGCGCCGCGGACGGAGCCAGGCCCAGCCGTGTCGG